ATGTATCAGAATATTAGCAATGTTTATATGGGGGTAGTGGAATTACTTTATTTTCTTCTTGTTCCTGTTTGTTCAGATGATCTACAATGAACATGTATTACTTATTCAGAACAAAAAACTGGTAATTTTTTTATGGAGAATGGAGGGGTACCCCATTATAAAATGAATTTCCCAAGGATACTGCCAATGCCAATCCTGATTTGGGGACATTGAAATTGTTGGCCTTGTTCCCACCACAGCCCATCCCATGTAGAATCAGTGTGGGTTGTGTTATCCTATTGCATTAAATGCTCACCTCAAGGTTAAGAAGAAATGGAGAGAGAAAAAAATTCCCTGCAGGGACTGGGTCACTTATTTCTAAATCCCTTGTCAGATGCCCTTGAGATTTCAAGGTCTTAAATGGGGGCCTCCCTGCTTCAATCCATTACCAGGTAAATGGCAATTTTTGATCTCTGGCATCCTTTTTGACAACCCCTGAAAATACACAGCTAATGGTAGAAAGGTGGATACCAGGACCCCTCTCCCAGGCCAGAGAACACCTCCAAATACCTGACCTGCAGCGTGTGTACCTGATAGTAACTCTGATAAAGTGGTTTAGAGTCAAGGGAACATGATGTCACTTGTGAGCTCTGTGACCTTGGGTAAACTGTTTAACTGCTCCAAGTACCATCAGCAAAGTGGGGGATGATAACATTACCTTGCCCACAGGGATATTGCAAAGATTCAATGCGATCATGCATGCTACATTCCTAACCCAACCCACAGAGAATAACCACTACTGTGAATCTGATTAAACCAGTGTGGTTTGGTAAAAGGAGCACTGGCTTTGGCCCTGCAAGCCCCCTTCACCACTTACTAGCTGGGTGACAGATGGGGTCAACTAACCTGCTTGAACATTAGTCTTCACACCTGTAAAGTGGGGCCCATAATACTAACTTCCAAATGTGGTTTTAAGGAGTAGAGAGCATGGGTGTAATAGCTACCATAGCCTGTAGAAGCCAGGCAGGTGGAGTGAATTAGTGAGATGGGTTGAGTGTGACAAGCTGAAGAGCCTTCAAGCAGGGTAGCTGTGACTCAGCATCAGCCCACTGTTACCATCCAGGGATTCAGAAATGTGAATTTTTCCTGATTTGTTAAGAGAGGCATGAAATTTTAATTTGAACATTAGTTTTTAAATGTTGACAATTAATTAGAAGTTTTTCAGGCAATGTGTAGGTCAGTAGTGGTAGATTGGATTCCCACTTGTTTATTCACACCCTTGGCCATGGGACTTAGCAGGAGGCAGAGTAGATGTCCCCACCCCACTGATGTTGGGCTTGTCCTTATGACTTGCTTTGGCCAGTGGATGCAGGGTGAACAGATGTGTATGGCTGATTTGGCTTATCCTATTTTCACTTTTTCCAGAATCTGCCAAGAGAGGAGTATGCTCCTGGAACTCACTGTCCCAGAATGAGATCTGAGGGGCTGACCTGATGCAGAGTTGCTCCAGGTGACCCATAGCCCCATGAGTGAGAAAAATAAGACCTTTGTTGTCAGTAAGCTGCTGAGTTTTGGATATTTTTACAAAGCAAAACCTAACTCATGCACCACCCTTGGCTACCCAGGTTGAGACCACCCAGGTAAAGCACCTTGCAAATGACTGATATGTAGTGTGTACTTAATAATGGTTGCCCTTAGGATTATTCAGGGCATGACAAATCTCTTGGGGTTCCTATAAGAGAAGTTAGGCTTAGGCCAATGCAATGCAATGTTTGTTTTGTGCCGATTTGACCCCTAAGAAACTTGAACCCATCCGTCTCTATCTATCACCTTCTTATATATCTGCAGGGATAACTGTCACCCTACATTGTGCCTTAGAATTACAGACTGTAAAACTGAACAGGATAATACATGGTAAACAGTGTTTTCATGATTTCTTGCTTGGGAGTTTTTAACTATATATGTTCCATCAACATGTATGATAGAACTAGATATTAAGAATTCAGATGGAAATGATTAAAACAGCTCAGACCTGGGAAAGTCTAGGGGGACAGTGAGGTGTATTCAGCAGCACCAACAAAACCTTATAAGGAAAGCCCTAAGAAGCAAGAACCAAGTGTCTCTTGGATCTCAGAGGGATCAGTAGATCCTGACCATAGCTGGGGAAGCAGCTCTGCAGACAGGAGAATCAAGCTGGGCTTTTAAAGATGAAGAACTTTGGTTATGTAAGAAGGTGGGGGATGATTCTAAGAAGGAAAAACATATGCAAAGTCATGTGTGACATGAGCAATTGGTGTATTCAGAAAATTGGGAGGAGCCTAGGTAGATGGCAAATCAGGTGCAAGTGGGGAGGGGCTAAAAGCACAACAGCAAGGTAAGCAAGGACCAGGATGTGAACTGCATTGGATGTTGTAGATGTTTGTTTCCAAAAATGGCTGCCTTCAGTTCCTCCCCTTTCTGTATGCACCACCACTTACCCATCAAAGAGTAGAGGCTATGGCTCCAGGCCTTGAATCGGGGCTGCTTTGAAGTATAGCACAAGGAAGAAGTGACCTTGGGTCAGTTCTACCCTTGGCAGTTTTATGTTTCTCCTCTCTCGGGATGTCGGCTCTTGGAATACTCCCTCTCAGAACCCAACCATCATTCTGTGAGAACTTTGTGGAGAAGTTACACGAAGGCACTCCATTTAAGAGACCTGGCTAAGCTCCTACCTCATAGCTAGCAGTGTGAATACACCATTTTGGATGTCCAGCCTGGTCAAGCCTCTGATGACTCCAGCCCCAGTCAGTGTGTGAGCCCCTAAGTGCAGACCACCTGACAGAGACCAGTGAGCTCTCAGAAGGGTAACTGATAATAAATTGTCCTCTTGAGTTTTGGGTTGATTTGCCATGCAGCAATAGATAACTGGAACAGGTGTCAAATACTTTGTCCTAGGCATCAACTGTAATACATATTGGTGGCTTAAAAGACTTGACAAAATGGTGAGGTCAGTGGGGGATAAACTGGAAGTTCTCTTAGCAGTACTCTGGTGGGTAAGCAATAAAGTAGCAGTTCCCTATATGTCCTTTGGCTCTTTTGCTATTTTACTGCAGATTTTTTCTCAAAATGCTAATATTCTAGAGAAGCAATGTGATGTTCTAGAAAGAATGTAGGCATTGTAGTCAAGAGAGATCCAGATTCAAATCCCAACTATGTCACCCATGAGTTATGAGATAAGTCACTTAATGGAGTAGACTGTGCCCTGCCTAGATGCCCTTTCTGAGACCAGCACACCCACACCAGCACACTATAACTGTTGCTTTCTATTTGGCCATCTTATCCTCTGCAGAACTGCCCTGAGCTGATGGGGGCCATCTTGTTTTAAATGTTACAGTCTCCTATACCCTGGGGATGGCTCCAGCCAATGACTGAGTGGTATAGGTGCACAAAAGTCGGGTGGCTCAGCTCAGGAGGGGGCATTTCTACAGTGAGGTCTGTGTTCTGAGCTCTCCCTTCATGGACCAGGTCCAGAACACAGACTACATGAGTCCACAGCTTTTCTAGACTTTTTCCCCTTCCCTATCCTGTTCCCCCTGACTTTCTTAAAGATTCCCTTTCTTTCACCTGAAGAACACTCCCTCAGTCATCTTGTGCCCCAAAATCCTGATCTCAGGCTCTGCTTCTGAGAATCCCAACCTAAGACATGTGGCCTCCCTTAGCTTTTCTTTTTCAAATTCCCCTTTCCAGAATTTGCCAAGATGATAAATTAAAATCGCCTGGCACTTAAGACACATCCGACACATGCTAACAAATTTCGTCTCTCATCTTCCTCACCGGTGGAAAACAAAGTGGAGAAACACAAGGGAATTTTTTTAAACAAAAAAGTCCTCAAGTGAATTTTCCAGAGTCTCGTATAGCAGCTTTTGAGAAAAATAGGCAAGCAAGGCACTGATTTTTAAAAACGAAGATATTAATGCCAACTTTGTGAAGCTCTGAAGATGAGCTGAAATAATGTCCGTGGACCTGAAGTTGGTTTGGTTGGTGCAAAATATACTCTCAGCGAGTGGAAGCTACCACTCTTCCACTTGTCAAGCTCCAGAAGCACAAGCCAGATCTTCCTTGCTCAGAGCAGACACTCCCACATCTGCCTAAGTGAACTGCAGTGAGTAGGGAAAGGAATCAGACTTGACAAAGAACAGCGCAGCTTTCACAAGTCCACTCCACCAGTAGGCTGGGCGCTAACTCCAAGCTCCAGACTTCTCATAATTGTGGGCAGATTTCTCTGCCTGTGCTCACAAACAGCCAGATCCACTTGCATTGGTCGTTAACACAGTTTATTATTGGCACACTTATCAGTAAAGCATACATAAAATACAGCTGTTTTATAACACACGGAGCCACTGTGTCTTTACATGTGTGGAAGAACATATTAATATGCAAATGGAAAAATTAGTTCTCTTATAAAGTTTCACATAAATACACTGGAATTGCCCCAAAAGAAAAATCCCCATAAAAGAACCAAGGGAGGGCTTTACAAAATATTATACAAGAAATATACTATGAAAAGAAACAACAGTCAACTCAGATACAATAAAAAACACAAAAAAGTTTCAGATTTATTAAACTGCCCACAAAATTAATGGATTACATGGCTTGAAAAGATTTGGATCAACAGCAATTTTACAAATGCATCAGTTCTCAATGGGCCAGGTAGGTGTCTTTCTTTACATAAAAAAATCCACCTCGGTGTCTTCGATGACAAAAAGACATTTCTTGTTTCAGCACTTGGGCTCGATTGAACCAGCTCGGGTTGGAGAACCGATTGACATTAGCTCACCCATAAATTACCCTGCTAGGCCCTCTTAGCTGTTACCCAATGAAGGAAAAGGTGAAGAAAATAATAAAAATTAATAAGGATACACTTAAATTGCTGTCCAAAAGCTGATTTTTTTTCTTTTCTTTTTTTACTGAAACAAGAAACTCTCAGATGCAAGTCAAAAAGCAGAAAATATTTTACAATATTAAAAAGTCATCTGTAGTTAGGGTCGGCATATAATGAGACCCTGAGCACTGAGGGCGTATTGACAATATGGCCTTCGTTGGGTTGGGTTGGGTTGGGTTGGGTTGGGTTGGGTTGGGCGGGGCAGGGCGGGGGCGTGTAATTAACAAACATGTGGTTAACACCCAGCCAGGAGAAGCGCGAGCGTTCGCTCTGGTTTTAATTAACGCTCAGTGCCAGTATCTGTGTTACCTGCGAAGGCCTCCAGGGAAGGGTCATGGAAGTTTATTGGAATAATCCTCTCAATTCAAAAAGGAAAAAAGAAAGAAACTCAAACTCAGATCATTGTGATTTAGAAATAGGTATTCGCGTGGAAAAGTTTTTATTTCTCCTCCTTCCTCTCCTGTAGGCAAGGATCTGCAAGCGTGGGTGTGTGTACCCCACGGCCTACTGACAGTGGGTGCAGGTGCGGGTCAGTCTCACTGGGGAGCCTGGGGCGGGGCGTTTTCTGATTTGGTCTCTTGAGCGGCGGGGGGTTTACTGCTCCACGGGCTGCTGTTCCCCAGGGTGGGGGGGCTGTTGAAGTCTTCCTCGTCGTCCACGCCGTTGGCCGCGTCATATTGCGTGTTTTCTAATCTAGTGATTAGCCTTTCGTCCTCGTCCCCAAACTCACCTCCCATCAGAGTTGGCTCTCCTACCACCATCACATCCTGTGAACAGCAGCTGACATTATTACAGGGAAACCTTGGGACAGAGAAGCTCAGCTTAAAACACTAGCGGGAGGGGCTGGGCGATCTAGGACAGACACACTCGTGTACTGTGTCCCGGGGGTCAAGTCTCAAATTCGGGGGGGGGTGGGGCGAGACGCATATTTGATTTCTACAGGAAATAAACATTGCCTCCTGACGGGGAACAACCACGCGAGTTTATGTCCTTAGTGCGCAGCCTGACACCGGAGAACGAGCAATGCTAGCAATCTGCAGAAATAAAAAAATCGATTTTTCAAAATTAAAAAAATCCACGCTTTTAACTTGCCGACATTAGGGACTTCAGAGAGGGCTGTGCAACCTTCTGCTGGGTGCTTTCCAATACCTCCAAAACTCCGCCACTTTTTATTTAGGGCCTCTGAACGGCTTTGGAAACCAGCAGCCAACGTGGGGAGGATGCAGTTCTACGATATTCACGCAACTCATTCCAAATGGCATTCTCTCTGTCCCAAGGATGGTATACATTTTAATTGAAGACAGAATCTCTCTTTTTTCTACTCAGCCAGGCCCTTTTATGCAGCCAATATCCTTGACATTCTGCTACTTAATTATGGTAATTAATTTAGGTAAAGTTTTCGATAAAAACAATGTTCACACTGATTTGACAATTTGCATAGCTAATTAAGTCATTAGCAAAAACCTGCTGATTGCCAACAAGCCCTGAATTTACCATCTGTTATTTCATGGTGCCTGTCACCTATCCCCACACAGGCAACCCTGCCACCAATCTGGGCAGTAAAGAGAACCAGTCTGTCCAGCTGGTGCCATAAAAGGAAGATGAAGAGCACTAATTATAATTACATTGATGAAGCTGGTAGTCATCAGAAATGGAAGCGTGCAAGAAGAATCCATCTAATCATTCCTTTAAGTATAAATTGTCCTTCCATGCAAACAAGGAAGCCACCTACTGTAGCTGGGAGCTTCGTGGAGGCCACTGCTGGGGAGGGACGGGGGAGAAGCATGCATACACAGGGCACAGCTCCAGCCTCTTTGTTCAAAGGGGGCTGTATGGGGTTGATGGGTGACCTGGGTATGGGACAGGACACCTGTCAGGTGATACTGCTGGGCAGGCTGTGAGCAATGGTCTACTCAAAAGTGCAGTGACTCCAGAAGAGTGCCCAATGCTGTCAGCGTCTGCCTCTGCCAGAAAAAGCAGGGCTGAGCCAGATGCTTTTGGGCATGCAAGGGTGCGTTTCCTGACAGGGAGGCTATGCCTTGGACAAAATGCCTTGGTAACTGGGCAAAAAATTGCCCTCACTGGGGGCAAGAGAGGCTTTCCTGGGACAGTATGGTAGACTACCGCCTTTGGTCAGGAGAAGGTCCAGTGGACCCTCCAGTTTCCTTCTAGAATTCTGAAGATGCCAATTGAAGAGAACCCTTAATGTCCACCTGGTCGATTTTGGAATGGAAAATTTGGTTTGTTTGATTGACTGATTGATTGATTCCCCGAGAATTATGGGGAAGGTCATCAATGGATTTCCAAACTGTGTTTTCTGACTAATCACTCTTGTGATTTGACAAACATGATTTTAAAGAGCTATGTCCCAGGTTAAGTAAATGCCTCAAATACAAATTGGGTAAACTCAGCGATACAGGTGCTGGCGGGGAAATCAGCAGTGTGCTTCGAAGAACGTATTGATTATGCGGCGAAGAGCCAGACGTGACACTGACATGGACTCAAGGTGAGGAACAACATAGACAGAGACTCTGGCAAGAATACGGACAGGACTGGAGATGGAATGGGCTCTCCAGAGAGGAGGGGACGTTATCGGGTTAGCCACACGGCCTGCTGAGAGTGTTCTGGACAAAAAAGAAAGCCACTTGGTTACAGGCAATCGGGAGACAGTGCTTATGGCCAGGAACAAAGGTAAGGGGAAAGAATAGGGCAAGATTGGGGAGAGGATGACGTGGGTTAATCTCATTTCATGACTTACGTGCAGCACATTTTGGAAGGGTTGGAAAACACATGCGTGAGGTGTCACAGGACAGGAGAAGGGCGTGGGGACCGACCACGTGGGTCTGCATTAGTATCATGAGTCCAAGATCATCGAGAGAGGCTGGGACAGTGTGGGGAGGTAAGCATAATTTGGAAACAGAGGAGAAAAATCAGAAGGCAGCTTAAGCGTGACATTAGGAAAAGGTCCTCAAAACTCCAGATGCCTTCATGGCATCAGAAAAATAATGGTCATTCACAAAAAGTACTATGAAAATCGTGATTTGAATCACTCCAAATGGGGCCGGTATCGGCTCGTAGTGTTTGGAACAGCTGTAAAGATGCCCAGGCATAGATCCTTGTCAGCATCCTAGATTTCAGAGAGATGCCACATTTGCCTTCCTGATTATAAAAGAAAAGCCTTAACCAGATACATAATCCTGTGTGTACGCGTGGGAGTGATCGATAGATGGCAAGCTATGGAAGAGATGTGTGCTAAGGGCTTCTTAGGCGCGTACATACTTGAGGCCACTTACACACACTTACACAAGTATGCCCGGGGCTCTACCTGGAACCTACGTCTACAGAACCTGCAGACGAGACGAGTGGTTCTCTGCTCAGGCGGTCTCGATTTGTTAGCCTCACACAAAATGAATGGAGACATAGTGCACATTTGGGGCTGCCTCTCACTAGTGGAAGCTGGCTCCATTTTCCCCACCCCCACATCTTTAAAAATCCCCCCAACATTCAACATCGGTTGTGAGAGGTGCATTTCCTTCCCATGTCTGCTTTCTCGTGTATCCCACAGGAGGCAGGGCTGGTGGTCTGAGAGTAACCCAGATGCCCTCGGCTCCCCATGAGGCGGACCTCTCTGCCCCTTGCTGGAGGCCTGGAGGTGCCACCAGCTCTTGCCCGTGTCATGTCTTCTCACTAATTCCCCGTGCAAGGACCACCAACCTCTGAGGAGGACTGGAAGTGACTCCTTTCAGGGCCCCTCAATGCTTCTCCTTAAATTGGCCAGAAGGGGTCACTGCTGTTGAATGACACAGGTCTCCATCCCTCCCAGGGTTGAGGCTGCAGTTCGGGATCGCTCCTAGCCCCTGCTCATGGAGTGAGAAGCAGAATCCAAGGATTAAACCCTAGTCCTCGCCAGACACACACGTTGCTGCCGTGGCAGCTAGGTGGACCACAGCTGTGGTCACGGTGGCACATAAACTCTGGTCATGCCTGGGAATGAGGCGGCCAGGGCTGCAGATCACTTTCTATTTTAACAGTAAAATCGTGTCAGTAGTTCAGTACACAGGGTTAAAAGATGTGGCCACTACAAGCCAGACGATGCTTATCATTTAATGTCCATTTAACTGGAGTGCACACAGAAACGTGCACATTTTTCCTAACCTGGTTGCCTTTCCCTGCCCCTCTTGGTTCTCTGTAAGTTTTACTCAGTTAAAACCTCTTTTAATTGCAAGGAGTGGGGATGGTGCTGAAATTCTGCTCTCACTTTCTAATGGTGCCTTGTTCTCACCAAGTCCAAAGGGTTTCAGTTCACCAAGAACCCTCTTGACACAGGTATCCTCCACTAAGATGCAGTTGGGGGATTGGAGGAAAGGAGCATCAGGAAGTAGAACAAACTATGTGGCGTGCCCTTTAAGATAAAATTGAAATGTTTCCAACGAGGCCAGGTATGTCGAAATACATGAAACTTATGCTGCTATTCTACACCTGAGGCAGACATCGAGGATGGACGGCTCACCAAACCCAGGCTAGGCCTCAGAATCCCACTCAGTGCTGGACCCTGTTAGCTGACCCCAGGAGACTGAGCTGGCAGGAGAGAGGAAACCTCTTGGCCATCCCTTGAGTAGACATGAGCTCTTCAATGACAGGGTCTGGGTTTTTGCTGTCTTTTGTTTGTTTACTCTTGGTATAGTGGGGGGCACATAGTAGGAGCTCAGAAAACATTTGTCGAACTGAGCTGAATTCTTGCAGCCACTGTGCCTTTAAGTAGTGATGTCACAGTTCCAGAATTCTCTGGAATGCACTCTCATTTGCAAGGGGAAACTACAAATGTTAGTTTCTCAAACTCCAGGAGTAGATGAAGAATGGGTTACTTGTGAGCACTTCTGGGTTGATTTATTTATACCAGGCCATTTTCTCTATGCATTTTCCAGTTTAACCAGGAGTGGGCCTAACTTATTGGTACCTTCATAAAAAGACTGTTTTTCTTCTTTGATTTTTTTTTTTCCTGACTCTTTAGCCCAGTTCAGAAAACAGAGGTGAGTCTGGCATTATTTAAAGTCTGTAATTCCTAGCGGTCTTAAAATGGTACCTTCCCCACAGGCTGGCCACTCTCTCCATGACCCTTTCTTTCTAGTGCAGTGAGGATGAAAACCATACCCTCTGTCTACGGAAGACAGGAGAAGAGTCCCAGTGGACCCGGGGATCCTCAGGTACTGATGGGGGTTGGTTTTAGCCAAAGAAAACGGACCGATGGAAAGTGGGTAAAAGTGGGTCGGGGACACATTTGAAAGACACATTTAGAAGTAAGTGGAGAATCCCCATGAAAGAAGGGTCCACTCTCACAAGGGGAGAGATGTGAGGACAACAGATCAAGAGGGGAAAAAAAGGTGAGAAAGAGGGAAAAGGTCAAATTGCATCAGTTGAGGGAAGTAACAAGAAATAGAGCACATTTCCCAAGACATGGCATCTAGAGGATATCCATGAAGCACCACGAAGGTGTTGGGGCTCAAACGACGGTCAAACGCCTGGTGACAGGGTGGTGTGGCTAGGGCAGCAGAGAAGGAGCGCCCACAAGTAATCGTGGAGGGGACAAGGGACAAGAAATGCTTAGAGGAGCATGAGAATTTAAAAGCTATAAATGGTCTGACACTGAGCTGAGGGATTTGGAGTCAGGAAGGAATTGGGCAGACAGGACAGGACTTGAAAGTAAAAGTAATAGGAGATGAAGAAAGATGAAGAAAGGGCCACACGGTGTACCCTCTTTGGGGACACCCATCAGCTGTCAGCCTTGGAGTTCAAAGAAGCCCCCTTCTCAGTGGCCCATTTCCTTTGTCAAGACCCAGAAATGAAAGAAAGGGTCAAGAGGTCCAGAGAGCTGAGACCAAACCAGGGGCCGACCCTCCCCCTGAGCTCATGAAATGGGTAAAGTGGAATCCACTAAGCTGCATTTTGAGTGGCCGGGAGTTAATTACCTGAGTCTTAAAATAGGAAGGGACACCCAGGTCGGGAAGGCCCAATCCAATTACAATACGGAGTCTGAACGCCGGGAGCTAGCTTCCAGTGGAGCACGGGGTCTCCAGTGATGGTGCCGAGAGCCCCTTCTATGCCACCAGGCATTGCTGCTAAGTGATATTTTAATTAAACCTTAAGTGACATATCTCCTGTCTGTGACTCTGACGGCTTTTTAATTCAGGTCCCTGCGCAGCACAGACTCTTAATATTCCTTTCTAATTCCCAGGTTGCGAGGGAAGGTTTCCATGGCAGGACTCCTCCCTCCCCCGCCCCTCCCCCTCCCCCACCGCCACCCCGGCCTTGCCCTCTGCCGCCCCCAACCTGCCCAGAACGCCCTGGCAGCTCAGGGAGGCTTTCACGTGGGCCCCTGCAGGTGGGAGACAGGCAAAGGCAGGATTTCAGGCCTAAAAGAAAAGCGAGACTTACAGGTACCTGACTGGACAGACTCAGGTTGGCGGCCGGAGTCTTCTTCTTGCTGCCGGTGCTGTTGGCGTTGTTCCCGGCGCTGCTGTTGGACGTGCTGCTGGTGGAGTTTTTCCTTTTTCTCCGCTTGGTTGTCGGCTGCCTGGTGGGTTCTGCTGCACAATGGAAAATGGATGGGGGATCAGTTCCGGGGGGACGGTCAAAATACTGTCCCTCCAAGGAGGCTGTGCTTGCGAATTGAAAAGAGTAGACTCTAAATTGTTTCCATTTCTTTTAGATGTACGCGGAGTAAAGGGAGGAAGCGGTTGTTTTATTTTTAGCCCAGAATGCGTGCAACCCTCTTCTTTGGTATCTAGATAGAATGATTTATGTCTTACTGTGTTTTGCGAATGTTGTATGTCTGGAATCTATCAATATATTTTAAGGGCCAGCCGCAAATACCACTTTTATAGTTGAGTTAAAAATATTACTACCATTTCAAAATGGGGGAAAACATTTTCCTCTGGACTGTTCTGTCTTTAGAACAAAAGGAGGGTCCTGGGCTCCCTTGGGTTGGCAGGGAGGGAGCTTCTGAGATATGAGGGAAAGGATGAAACCAAGCGAAGGGGGTGAACCTGTGTAGGAGCTGTGTCTCCTGGTAGGTGCCCAGCACCATCACACCTGGAGATGCTCGAGTACAAAGAAGAGAAAGCCTGAGTTCTGTCAGCCGAGGGCTCCCCAGCCCAGTATGGTTCTCAAGTTGCATGGTTTGGACCCCGATGTTTAAAGAATGCTACTAATTTCAACACTCCTGTGGGAAAAATATCTTAGTGTGCAACGGCCAGCATATTCATGAAGGGGAACTAGATCTTTTCAAGAAAGTCCTGTTTAGAAACAGGAAAATATTTTGGACTGGATGGATGGGCAACATCTTCTTGGAAGCATAGGGACCCGTGGTGATGTGCGGTCAGATGAATATTATTTATTTATACATCATGTAGTGAGTTTCATCAAATGTTTTCATGTTCTTCATGGTTTCTATGTCATGACTATCTTATATTCATAGCAACTCTATTAATTAGATACTGTTCTAATCTGTGCTTTGTAAATGAGAAATGTTCAGAAACTTTTTTCCAGGCAGTTACTCAGTTGGAAATGGAATGTAAGAGCATCCTTTTTGCTAACCCTAGTCTTGACCCAACTCTGAAGGAGAGAAGGTGAGCTGGGGCCAGACTGGAACCAAGTGAGAGGGCCTCGTGGCATTTTCTTAAAACACCTATGCTGCTTCTGATGGGCAGTGGGCAGGATATCCTTTAAGGCTCATTTCAAAGACCACCTAGTCCACCAAATTATCCCTGACTTTTGAGGAAGAAGGGGATTATGTTCCTATTTATGTACCATTTTGTTTCTTTCATGAATATTTTATCTCTTATGTTCAGAGGTGTTCATCAAAGGGTCTAACATGTCTGTCCATAGAGAGTTATGGGTACTTGTCCTGAAGGTTGGGGAAACAGGAAATAGAATTGGTCCAGCTCACGGTGCCAGAAAAGAGTTGAGTTACACGTTCAAAGTCAAGCAAATACTCAGTTCCCCTGACAAACATCTTCTTCCTTTACCTCAAGAACTAAAATTGGCTACTTTTTTTTGATATCTGTACTTCTTTTGTGAAATTTGGGGGAAATATACCGACACTGCATACTCTGTATTACTCCCATTGGCAGCAGGTAGCTGAGGTCATAGAGTCATGAACTCTGGAGACGTAAGCACTTATTGTGACACAGACCTCCTTCACTGATCAGCTATGAGACCGTCTTTGGCAAATTACTACTTAAATCTCAGGCCCTGTACATTTAAAATGGAAGTAATATTAAATACCTCATAAGGTTATTGTGAGGATTCAGAAAGAGAATGGAGGGTCTGGGCGGGCTGGGATTTCTGACTGTTTCATTCGGTGCTATACCCCTTAGTGACTGGAACAGTACCCTGGCACCTAGTAGGGGCTTAATCAATAACTACTGAATGAATGATTTGGTTAATAAATAATATATAAGTTATATACGCATATCTTGGAAAATATAGGTTCTCAAAGCATTGAGTGAAATATTTTTTCCCATAAAGACTTATTGATATTGAAAGAGAAAATAATCTAAGCACATTCAATAGATTTGAAAAATAATGTTTCAAATGTCTAAAATTCCTCTAAGACAGAGATGTAAATATTCTATGTAAAATGATGCTCGTTTTCTCAGATTTCTAAATATGCACTTGGTTAAATCTACTATATTCATTTCCTATAAAAATGCCTGGCCCATTACCAGTGGAAGGTGACCATTCTATTTTGTGATTCAGAAAGCTATGTGCTTCGTGTTAATAATTACTCTTTATAAAAATAATTTTTAGCGAACGGATACGTTTTGCTTTTATGATCAATGAGGCTTGACACACGCCTGGGAGTAAAAATGTATTAGATAGAACGACAATTAATGATGACTGGAAGCAGTAATTTCAGAGCCCCAGCAGGAGACTATAGTATCTAAACTGCATTCTAAGGAAGTGAGGAAAATGGAATCTTTTATGTATTCTCTTCATGATCAGAGTACCCTTTGATACTAGATCTATCTTAAAAAAGGGAGCAAACTTATTTATTTATTTTTCTTTATTTCCTTCCTTCCTTTTCCCCCTTCCATCCTCCCTCCCTCCCTTTCTTCCCATAATTTATATCGTTCTTAAAGAAAAAACAACCAAAAGAACAATTGACCATGAGAAGACATCAGTCTTGTCCAGTGGAATAGCCACTGGCCTGGGAGACAGGAAACCTTGCTTCTGATTTCTGCTTTGCCAATGATCTTGGTAACATTAAATAAATCAATTGACTTCTCTGGGTTTCAGGTCCTAAGTGAGATTATAGATGATTCCTAAAGATGCTGGTACTTCACAAATTCAACATCCCCACATCCAAATATCCATAAGAAACTAGTCTTCCTGACAAATTTATGATTCTTTCCTTCCTTTTCACATCCCTTCATCCCCCAAAGAGGCCTCAGAAAATGCGTTTAGAACAAGAGTGAAGAACGAGCTTGTACCTGGGGGTGCCACCATCCGCTGCCACTTCTGAAACAAGCAGGTCTTCAGGCAGTCTCGTGGACTGAGGTTGTAAGTTTTATGTCTCGACATCAGTTCCTGCATTGGCTCCAGTATTACACACAACTGCAAAAAGTTCAAAGACATCAGTGTTTCACTACTTGATAATATGATTTGCAATAAATAATGTTAACAGCTGGAAACAATTAGAAACCTCAAAGGTACTTTTCTTTTTTCCCCTGGTTTTGATTTTCTCTGTCCAGGTTTGGAGGAAAAGAAATATTACCAACACTTGATAATGCCCACCTAATTTACTATTACTTATAATACCATATTATAGCTGAATGTGATTTACACACACACACACATGCACGCACGCACGCACACATCCAGACACATTCTGTACAAACTGTTGGGTGGATATATGTAGCTCTATTCTGAATTCAAATGATTCTCTGTGGTTAAAGAAAAAAGCTCTCTTCCATGGCGCACAGCATGCTCTGATTTCTGCTCTGGTTTCTGCTGTTATTCCTGTTTGTATAACCACACACTGTGAGTTACAATGCTAGTTTATGTAGATTATATGGCAGTGAAAGCCATCTTTTAAACTGTGGCGAACAAAGTGGCAACTTCAAGTACTTTTTGGATCCTAATTCTTATCAAGGTCCACGATGAACACTATTTTATTTTTATTCATGTACTCATTTGTATTTTACACATAATGATAATGTCAGTAACATATGCCAACATGAGTTCAGAGTGGGAGCTTTTTCTGTCGCTCTGTACACAGTTGCTTTCTTGCCTCCTTTGGCTAGATTTTTCAGGTTTACTTTGGTCCAAGACATCTGATGACAAAGATTAATGAATGAGCAAGAAGGTAAATCCATTTAGGATTGCCTTGAACTTTTCTGAATTCCTTCTCAGTTGGAAGCTCATCAGAATACTGCTGCATTGAGAGTGCTGTATCTAAGAAGACAAAGACCACAACACAGCTGTACACATATTGGCAAAGCACCCATCCTTCCATGTGGAAAGACAGCATTTCATTATAAAAGGCAGATGTGCCTTCACTGCCCATCATTTTTACCACTCCCTTCCCTTCTGTCATTACTCAGAGGACATGCTGCTTTTTGTCCACTGGTCCACTGGGTTCCCTCTACTTGGAATTCTTCCCTCCTCTCTTCTTGGCTAATGCCCACTCATCCTTGAAGACAAGGTTACTTCTTCTGTTACACTCGTGTACCTCTCCCTATGCAGGCTGAACTGGGTGCCTCCCTACAGTTCTCCCATGGCACTCAGCCCTTTCTGCTCCATGAACTTACTCATCCATGCTTTGCAACCCTCTGCTTCCAAGTTTCTCTTCTACTTGACCTTGAACTCTTTGAATGCCCAGACTGTGCCTTTTTTCTCTGTTTTCCTAGGTTTGGCTCAAGTGAATGGATGCATTTAAGGTGTTCTTATAAATACTGGAAGATCTTTTCATGCCAATGTTCCTGATAGTACGGTCTAAGGAATACTTCTGTCAGAACCAAATGAGTTGATCATTAAAAATGCAGACTTCCAGGCTCTTTCCCTTCTGTTTCACTTCTGGGTATGGAACTAGGGTCCTGAATCTGCCTTTGGAAAAGCATGCTCATGTCTAATTCTGATACATTCTACTAAAGTTTGAGGTCTGCTTTAGGATAGATACATATAAATAGCAAGAAATGTGCAAATTCCCCGTGGTTTCCAGTTTGAACTCCACTTTTTTCTCACTTAACTCCACTTGCCCATGCTCTTCCTCTCTTCTCAAGCCTAAGCATGACAATCAAGATTACCCTCATCTAGAAAAATTTCTCTGCTCTTTTTACCTATCGATGATCTAAACTTGGCCCAAACCGCTAACTCCATTGACAGGACAAATGTAATCACTTTCCCATTGCAGTTTCTCAGGAAGAAGAGAGCAAGATTTTGAAGCCTGAATGACACAAGTACAGTGTGAGCCTAAGAGACACTTTGGCCAAAGAGCCACTCAACCCTAGTGAACCAGGCTGTCAGGTAATGAGATCTGGATTAGTCATGGGGTATCTTCAGTCTTGTCTATCTTCTTGCTTACTTCGTAGTCCTTTCTGAAATTTAAAATGTTGGTAAGGAAGACCCCATGAAAGCGAGGAATTCCTGTGCAATTAACCCCACATTCCCACACTGTGAAGACTCGATGTGTATCTTTCCTCCATAAGGAATTCCTCACTGGAAATCAAAGTCTGTGCAAGCTAAAGACAGCCTCAGGTCTGCCCCAGCCACTGATGCTCACCAGTCCAAACAGAGTGAAGGAGTCCAACATCATCTCTACAAACAGAGATAAGAGTGGATTATCCACCAGAGGAGAACCACTGCTAGATTCAGACAGGGTCAGAAGATGTTTGCATCTATTATTAAGCTAGGTTAGTAAGAAGAGGTTTCAGGGAAATTCTAAGGGATGGAAAATTTTTTTTTTTTTAAATTAAAATAACAAAGTTAGGTTTTCAACCATTTCCTTTGGCCCATTCCCCATTTTTGAGAAATGGGCTTACCATGGATATAAAAATACATGGATGGAGTAGAACAAGCACAGACTTAGAAGCCAAGAGGTCTAGGTATGGATTTTAATTCTGTCACTAGGTGTGCATCCTTGGCTGAGCCCCTTAAGAGTACTGGCTCTCAGTTTCATCTGTAAGACAAGACCCATCTTGCGTATCATTATGAGAATTTGAGATGATATGTCCGACACGTCAGAGTTCAACAAACAGTAGATATGATGATTCTGTATTAGCAAGAACAGCACGGACTGTGAAACAAATGACATTTCTATTCCTTTAAATCAACAAGCATTTATAGAGCTTCTTCCTAAGGGTCAGGCACTCTGCTTTGGCGCGCTGGGGACATAATGAGGAGGATAACATCATCTCTATCCTCAGGAAGTATACAGTCCCCTTTGGAATGATTTAAGCATATTAAGAAAACGACTCTGGTGTACACATAAGCATCTTTGGGAATCACATGTTTATGGAGCAAGTATTTTCATTACGTGACAAGTTAGATGGCAAAAGTGACCTCTGCGGACACAGAAGGGCAGTGGGCATGGAGCGTACCAGCAGGGAGAGCTGCATTTATTGTGAGAACCCTTAAACTCATTATTTACTTCTTTCTTGTTGGGGGTGGTTTCCTCCCTGGGTTTGGGGCAGCACTATTTTCAGGTCCTGATCCTCAGGATCTATCCATTCCCCTTGTATGTAAAAATATCTTCCCATCGCTGTAACCCACCCCAAAGGAGTTCCTAGCTCTGAATACTAATCAGGAATCTCCAAAGCCATTTTTCTTCCAGAGGAGGGTTCCCAGGCTGGAGAGGCAGGCTTCCCCTGGATTCATGTGTGCAAACGAGCCTGCCGTAGAGCTGGGCTGCCTTTGCTGGGCTGTGTGCTGTAGATGGCAGAACTACCTCAGACAAGAGGCTGCCTTCTCAGGCAGTGAGCCAGTGCATTCTGGCAACAGCGAAGGCCTGGGGCGTTCTGAAATGAGATCAGGAAGATGGTTGGGGGAGTGAGCTCCCGCAGTCACTCGCCAGTTCCTTCTGGAGCCAGGATTCCTGCTGTCCCTGGGGTCTTGGACCCCCTTGAGAATCTGGGGAAGGCTATGCAGCCTCTCTTTCAAAGTTTATACAAAATATCTGGAGGTTTATGAATCCTCTTATATACCCATCCATTGACTCTAAGTAAAGAGTTCCCTGTTTGTAATAAGTATAAACCAGTCTACATGCCTTTTCCTCCATGCTACACACACACACACACACACACACACACACACACACACACACAGAGGCATACACACATCAGTCAAATGCATATTAATGGAGCTAAGCATAATAACACAGAGTCTTTTGATTTAAAGGAACAACTGCATCTGCAGAGTTGGGCCTGCTACAAAGTTCTCAGTGGACCAGTCCTTTTGCCTGACAAGGAAGGCCACAGCATTTCTGCAACATCTGCAGCAGGCTGCACCCAGGGCTGCCACTTAGTTTGGCTTCCTCCTGCTGTGGTGTTGGGGGATAGCAGGAGGAATTCTAGAACATTGTGGAAGGGGCAGGAGTTAGCAAGGCCTGAGACCTCATTTTGAGTATGAAGCTCCTGAACGTGTAGTTCCTGCCAGGTCCATCTGGGATCCCAAAAAAAGATCTTGCCCAGCCCAGCAAAGCTGCAAGTACACCTTTCTGCAGATTTAGTGAGAATTTTAAGTTAGGTCGATGCCCCTATGCTTCTGACTTCATTTTCTGGGATTCTGGCCCCCAGCACTGACCCTTTGGTATGGAATCAAAACCTGGAACTACAACAGCAACTTGCTGAATGAGTAAAAGGATAGATGGATGGAAAGATGGATGGGGGGTGGATGGGTGGGTGGATGGATGGATGGATGGATGGATAGGTGGGTGGGTGGATAATAAACAGATTGGCCAGATTTACAGCAAGGAGTCATTTCCTAATAGACAAATCAAGCCTTGTGTTGGAGGCTTAGAAGTGATGTATTTGTCCATGTGATAAATAACAGATTGCCTCCCCTGTCCAGAAGGCTTTGCACAAATGCACATATATGTACCCAATTACTATATGTCCAGGCCAGACAGGAAGATCTCAGCTCATCCTGGGACTTTTCGTAGTAACAAAGGACCTAGTAAATGTAGACAGTATTGTGTTTTGCTTTGTTTTCATCTGACAGTTCTCCTGGAGAAATTTGATTCTCCTTACCTATGTGTTCACACTTATTCTTCTTGCTCAACTCCTTGCCCAAACCCAATTCCAGAAGTAGGCGATGCTTGTCAGAGTTGGCTCTGGCCTATGAAAAAGCTGATGCCCTGGGGTTGGCATTTGGCTAACTCCCAAACCTAGGTCCTGTCTACTGCCAACATTTTGATTCAATGTTTTCTGGATGATGGATGACATCCTCTGAGCTTGAGCCACCTAATCTTTGCATATAGGCTTGCCTGAGGTTACTATTTCAATACCAGCTCAGGCCTTTGTCCATGTTGTTCTTCTTGCCTAGAAGACCTCCTCTCTTTCCCGGCCCTTTTAGCCAGAGGTTGGCAAGCTATGGCCTGTGGGCCGAATCCGGCCATG